ACCCCATATACGTCAGATAGCTAAAATATCCTGTTTTATAGACAGGGTGACTGCAATCCATCCACTTATTTGACCCATCTGTTGGGTACCTATTGCACTCCAAACCCCATTCTAGGACCTGGAGAACCGCGGGGTTTGATAGACGGGAAGCGTGCACCTGCCTAGCACACAGGCCAGCCCCGTGCTGACTGGTCAGTGTCTGTGACGGCTGCCGCTGCACGTGGTGACGGCCGCTGCTTAGCGGGGAACAAACCACAGTCCCTGACCCCTTGGTGCTCGCTTTCTGGTTGGAGACAGCACACACACAGGCGAAACAGGGCATGATGATAGTGCCATGAGGAAAACCAAACCGGAGCACCGGGGCGGCAGTTAGCGACTTGCCTGAGATTTCAGAGCTACAAAGAGGAAGAACTTGGGCTGACGGGCTGGAAGGGAACCCCCCGGTTTCTCCGTCCATGCGGCCGCTGAGAAGGGGACCGTGGAAGCAGGTGGCTACGGACATTCATCTGCTGTGTGCTCAGTCACTCAGTTGTGTCGGACTCTGTGTCTGGACTGGGTAGCCTGCCAGGCTTCTCTGTCCAAGAGACTCTCCAGGCAAGGATACTGGAGGGGGTTGCCATTTCATGCTCCAGGGTAGCTTCTCCACCCAGGAATCGAACCCGAGTCTCCTGCATTGCAGGCAGATTCTTTACCCTCTGAGTCATCAGGGAAGCCTATTAGTCCTCCCTAAAAGGATCAGAACGACAGGTCTTATTGGCCATCAAATATTTATGGAGCCCTTACTGTGTACCAGGCAACATGCTAAGCCCTGGAAATACAGCAGTCAAGAAAACAGGCAAGGTCTCTGCTTGGGGAGGGAGGGATGCAGGGGAAAAAAAACTTTAAATAATTGTAAAGACAAAAAGCTCTTCAAAGAGAGGATACAGGGAGGTCCAGGGAGGTAAGAGCAGGGCTCTGTGCTAGCGTGGTGGTGGGGAGTGGGGGAGACCTCTGTGCATTAGCTAGATGAGATGTTGAGGGCCCCCCTCCTGTGCCCTGCGAGGCAGCATTCTTTATGAGCTCACTGACTTTGGATATTTGTTTTTGAGTTATAGGTATCAACTGTATTAGATAATCTCTTTTTTGTGCTTCTGCAAGCTATTTATTGCTAACATTCTGCGGTGTCGTTTTACCCCTCAGATGCTTTTATAGCCCTTGCCTCTCTCAGGTGAGATAACTAACTTCATATATGAAATACAGATTTTAATGAACTGAGAGGCAAGAATAAGGAAGATGCTCTTTCTCCTGAGTCTGACTCTGAGTCAGGAGGGCAGTGCCATGTACACAGTGGGCTTATAAAAATCACTCTGCAGTAACGACAGCTCAAGGTGTCCAGCCGTTTATGACTTCTTTGATGATGGTGCATGATCACACTGCTCTGGTCGTGACCTATAGAAAATGCTCTGCTTAGAAATTTCCTTTGACTTGATAGCCTACCCCTCTATCTTCTCTGTGCTTTCCAGGTGGCTCAGTGATAAAGAATCCACCTGCCAATGCAGGAGACGTGGGTTGATCCCTGGTCTGGGATGACTCCCTGGAGAAGGAAATGGCAACCCACTCCAGTGTTCTTGCCTGGAGAATCCCATGGACAGAGGAGCCTGGTGGGCTCCATGGGGTCCCAAAGAATCGGACACAACTAAACAATAGCACTACCTCCTTTAGCTGTGTAGAGACATGTGAAAAAATATAATTAATATAAAATCATTCGTTTTGAAGATCACCACCCCTGCCTGGCTGGTTCCCTACATATTCCTTCCTTTGGGAGTGTCTGCTGGCCCTGAGCCCTTCCCAGATCTCCTCCTTTTGTGATTCTGATACTGTCCAGATACACTTAGCAGGCTGGACTCCATAGCCAGACCACAGACCCGCTCCTGTTAACCAGGAGCTGACTCTGAATCACTCCTCTGACCCACTCAGAAGGCAGACGCCTTCTCCCAGGCATCATTTAGAATTCCAAGAGGATGATGGGTGGGAGGGGGCCCACATCCTGCTCTGGGATCCTCTGGAAAAGGGGAGTTGCCGTGATGAAGGAAGAGCGATGAGGCACTTGGATTGGGAGAAGCTGCCAGCTTCCTTCCCAGGCTCTGGGAAATAAGATCTAGTTATAGGGTGAGTCTTGATGAGCAAGGTGTCACCTGGAAATACCCTGGTGCTGCAGTGAGGTCATGTCCACCTTTGGGACCTATGCCCTCTTGCTCTGTCTTGCCTGTCCACTTGGACAAAGGTATACGATTGAGCTCTTGTTTCAGGCACAGAAAAATTGCCGTATTTGAAATAATTTGTTCTTGCCCATGTCAGGGAAGCCACCAGTGCTGATTCCTTTTTTTTTTTCATCACCCAGACTATACTGGCTTAGCCCCAGAAGACCTTGCCAAGAGCTATAGCTCTGTTATTGTCCAGTTCTCTGTCCCTGGGGATGGCAATACACAAATGAAATTGACCACTTATGTTGCACCAGGCACTCCATTAAGAGCTTTTCATGGATGTTCTTATCTTGTTCTTCTGGCAGCCTTGTGAAGGAGGTGTTTCCTTTCTTTTCTTTCTTTTTTTTCCCATCAAATCACAGTTTTACAGACTAAAATCCCTGATGTCCAGACTGTTGTTGTTTTGTCACTAAGTCATGTCCAATTATTAGCCACCCCGTGGACTGCAGCCTGCCAGGCTCCTCTGTCTGTAGGATTCTCCAGGCAAGAGTACTGGAGTGGGTGGCCATTTCCTTCTCCAGGGTATCTTCCCGACCCAGGGATCGAACCAGCATCTCTTGCACTGGAAGGCAGATTCTCTACCACTGAGCACCAGGGAAGCCCGAGGCCCAGATGAATTAGGTAATTTGCGGAAGGTAGCTTAACTAGTGGGTAGAAGAGCTGGTACCCATCACTCATTAAACACTCACTTTGTGTTCAGTGCTTTCCAAATGCCATCTTTGAAAATCCTCAAAATAACCTGAAACAGAAGTATGATAGCCCCCTCTTCCAGCCAGAAGGAAACTTAAGAGCAAAGAAATTGTGTAACCTGCCTGAAATTTCATAGCTTGTAGAGCAGCAGAGAAAGAACTGCAACCTGATCACTCTCTTTCCAAAGCCCAAGGCCACACTGTCTTCCTGAATCTCCTTCTCTATGGAAGGTGGATGGTGTTCCATGGGATCAGCACGTGGAACAGAGGCTCATTTTTTTGGGTGAATGACTGTGAGGGGGAACCACCTTCCGGGTGCATCTCCCCTCCCTTGGGTCTGCTGTAAGCCTGTTCTGGAGGAGATGTGAGCCCTGGGATGGGGAGACATTGGGCAGCAATATGTCCTGGTGCCAGTCACAGGGATGTTCTTTCATACTGTGTTGGGTTTCCTTAAATATTCCAGTGGAGTGGGCCTTAGGGAAACATACAGTGAGCAAAGCCACTCCTGGCAACTCCTGCCTGGTTGAGGGGGAGGGGTCGTGGAGTCTACTTGTGGCCACGTAGGAGTGATGCTCCTGTGACGTCCCTATGAGGCAGCTGGTTGAGAGGGCAAAGGTTAAGGTCTAGGGCCGGCAGCACTGGGCAGCAATCTCTGGACTGCCCCTTACCAGCAGTGTGAGGGAGGGTTGTTCTTCCAAGCCCTCAGATCCTTGGCATCCCTCTGGAGAGATGAGAAAAGGTACTTCCTCAATCAGTGAATCGCTGAGGCCATTTCATAAGCTGTTGAGTGCTTTGTCCATGTGATGCTGATTCTGTTTTCTTTCGGTTATGGATGCGATGTGCTGGAGCTCCCATGTGACAGATTTCCAGGTCTGGCCGAGGACCTCAGGAATGTACTCTGCCATGCAGATCACAGGAGCAAGAGAAGAGATCCATACAGATGGTTTCTTTCCATTCCCATAAAAGCTACCAAGCTGTTCACTCATCTAATCGCTAACTTTCCCAGAACCCCTAGATCCCTGGGCCTGGGCTTTGCACTGCCAGGGAGAGAAAAAAACCTACTGGTCCTGCCTGGTAGGTGTTCAGGGTTTTAGATGAAGAGACAAGACTGACACCAACCCAGAATAATTAGACAAGGTAATTATTTAATTCATCACTAAACTGGATGTTTCTGGAAAGACAAATTGATGGGCGATGAGAGAAATCTGAGAAGGCCTCCTGGCATACGCAGGGCTTGGGATGGTCTTACAGGAGCTGGGAAGGCGGTGGTGGCCACGGTGACAGTCCCCCTTCATTCCAGGTCGTGTGGCCACAGATGTCATCCGATCCCTAAAAAGCACCCAGGGCTGACTCTATCCTAGGCACAGAGACAAATCCTTTACATCATGAAAACCTCCCAACCCTTAGAGGTTGATCCTACCCCATAGCTTCATTTATCGAATGAGAAAACAGACGGGTGAAGTAAACGGTCCAGGTTGCGCACCTAGTCAATGGAATACCTAGTATTCCAGAGCCTGTGCCCCGAACCACAAAACTGAACACAGAGGGCACGACAGAACCACGTGACACAGCCGTGGGTGCCCTCTCAGGCTGAGAAGGTGGAGCCAACGGAAAGGAGACCTCTGCCAGAAGCAGAAGAGGAGGAATTGCTTTCTCCCCCTTTCTTCTGTTTTTCTCTTTCCAGGAGAGACATGTGGGGCTCAGATGCTTCTGCTCCGGTGGTGCCTTTGGCCTGGAGAGCTGAGAGGGACCACATCACGGTGGAGATGTGCGGCTGGACGCTGCGGGCTGGCTCAGGCTCTGAGTCCCAGAGAGAGAGGGGCGGGGCCAAGCCTGCACTGTGTGGTCCTCAAGAAAGCGCGGTGCTCAAGATGGCGCTCCGAGTCCCGGAAAGAGAGGGGCGGGGCCAAGCCTGCACTCTGTGGTCCTCAAGATGGCACTCTGTGGTCCTCAAGATGGCGCTCTGAGTTCCGGAGAGAGAGGGGCCGGGCCAAGCTTGTACTGTGCTGTTCTCAAGATGGCGCGGTCCTCAGTATGGCGCTGTCCTCAATATGGTGCCGTCCTCAAGATGGCCTGGTTCTCAAGATGGCGCCTGAGGACCTGGAAGCGGGTGGAGCCGGAATTCAGGCCTTCAGCGCTGCACAGGCCTTACTGGGAGGATGGGGCTTTAAGGTCAGCCCAGCTGGCCCCGTGAAATGGAAGGAGGATGACTCCAAGAATAGAACTGGATGCTCTCCTAATCTTGGGGAACCCAGGGTGAAGGAGTCCCAAGTTGAGATATTAGGCAATGCCCCATTCTCCTTTAGATTTGCTTCAAATTTGAGGCACGTCATAGTCTCTTCTTGGGCCTCAATTTCTTTCTTTTTTTCAACAAGTTTAATTAATATTTATTTTTCGCTGGGGTCTGTGTTGCTGCACGTGGGCTTTGTCTCCTTGCAGTGGCTGAGGGCTGCTCTCAAGCTGTAGCTGTGGGCTTCTCAGGGCTGAGGCTCCTCTGGTGGCAGAGCTCCGGCTCTAGGGTGTGAAGGCTTCAGTAGCTGTGGCCCACAGGCTTCCTTGTCCCTTGGCATGTGGAATCTCTCCAGACCAGGGATCAAATCCGTGACCCGCTTCATTGGCAGGCGGATTCTTAACCACTGGACCCCCGGACAAGTCCCCCCAGTTTCTTATCTAACAGTGTGGGACATCGGGACCAGATGAGCTCCAAGGAAACTGGGTGGATTTAGAGTTCTAATAAGGACAGTGACTAAGCATTTGCCATGCTGTGAGATGATGTTGAATCATGTTTGTTTTGTGAGGGGCTGATTCCCTTCGGCCCGGCTTCCTGCCTCTGAAGTCTCAGGTCTCAGAAGCTCCATCTATAGGGAGCTGGAGAGAGGGTGGGGGTGGGGGGGTCTCCCCCTCCCCTGGGGCCGTGGGGACTGGCAGGGCCTGGGTGAGGGAGCAGCCACAGCTCAAGGCCCAGAATAGCTGCAGCCCTCCTGGCATCTGCCGTCCTGGCTGCAGACTCCCATCCCGTTGGCTGCACCCCATCCTTGCTGTCTGGCAGGCGCTGCTTTCCAGGTTTTTGTGGCACCCACTAAGCAGCCCTCCCTGTGTGCTCTGGCATGCTGGCTTCTTCCTCCACTCTGCTGGGATCATAATAGCAACTCTTCTCGGGCTTCCTCCGTCCTGCCTCACGTCCCCTCCTGATGGTTGAGGACAGGGGAGTAGTTTAGGACAGTGGAAGAAGCCTAGAATTGGTGCCAGGGGTCTCGAGTTCTTCGAACAGATTCGCCATCTGTCTAGGCACAGAGCCAAACATCTCTCTTGTTTTCAGCATGAAGGTAAAATAAAGATGCATCCTAAGTTGCTTCAGTCATGTCTGACCCTTTTGGACCCCATGAACTGTACCCAGCCAGGCTCCGCTGTCCATGGGATTCTCCAGGCAAGAATACTGGAGTGGGTTGCCATTTCCTTCTCCAGGGAATCTTCCTGACCCGGGGAGTGAACCCTTGTCTCCTACATCTTCTGCATCGGCAGGCAGTTTCTTTACCACTAGCACCATCCAGGAAGCCCTCAAAGTAAAGGTGATTGGGCTATTGTTTCACACTTGTTCGCCAGAATGGGTATCCCCATGGTTCACAGCTAGAGTCTTGCTGTGGACTGTATGTCTATGTCCCCTCTCCCCTAATAATATGTTGAAATCTTAACTCTGTAATGTGATATCATTTGGAGGAAAGGCTTTGGGAGGTAATTACATCATGGGGATGGAGCCCTCATGAATGATATTAGTGCTGTAATAAGAATTGATGCTTTTGAACTGTGGTGTTGGGGAAGACTCTTAGAGTCCCTTGGACTGCAAGGAGATCCAACCAGTCCATCCTAAAGGAAATCAGTCCTGAATATTCACTGGAAGGACTGATGCTGAAGCTGAAACTCCAATTCATTGGCCACCTGATACCAAGAACTGACTCTTTGGAAAAGACCCTGATGCCAGGAAAGATTGAAGGCGGGAGGAGAAGGGGATGACAGAGGATGAGATGGTTGGATGGCATCACCCGATTCAATGGCCATGAGCTTGAGCAAGCTCCAGGAGTTGGTGATGGACAGGGAGGCCTGGCATCCTGCAGTCCATGGGGTCGCAAAGAGTCGGACACAACTGAGCGACTGAACTGGAACTGGAAGAAGAGGCCAGAGACGAGTTAGCCCTCTTGCTGCCCTGGAGGACACAGTGAAAAGTCGGCAGTCTGCAGCCTGAAAGGAGACGTTCATCGGAATCTGACCATGCTGGTACCCTGGTCTTGGACTTCCAGCCTCCGGAACTGTGAGAAATAATTCCTATCTCTTATAAGTCACTGAGTCTTTGCCTTCAGTCCCCACTTCCCCAGGGTAGTGAGGAAGACCCCCACCCTCTCTCCAAATGACTAAGAGGTCCCTTGTTTTTGGGCGGTGCTCACATCATACTGGTTGTTCAGTATTTTGAGGCTCACCGCTGGGGTAATTCATAATACTTGAGTGATTGTACAGAACTGGTATGAGGGTCCAGTGGAGTAAATAAAGGCTGAGAGCAAGTGCTTTCAGGATGGTGAAGGCACAGTCACGTGTCTGATAACACGTATCTGTCCAATGTCTGTCTGTCTCCTCCATCATGGGGGCAGTCACACCTTGATTTTCCACTCACCCATCCTTAACCACATGGTTCAGATGGACCTTGCTCCTCTCCTGGCTCCAAGTCTGTTCCAAGTTCTCCTGACTCTGAGTCTCAACAGGTCTGAGGTTTTCTCCTTCTGGCCATAGTGACAGATTGGGGGATGAACCATACAGACCCTGTCAGAGCCAGTCCTGGGGCCGGACCCAGACCTGACCAACAAAAACACACATCCTCTTGCAGTGGTGATGGCTTAGAAGTTGGCATGTGACCCGAACCAGGCCAAACATTATTTCTTTGAGATTGTCCTCACCCACATGAGTGGAAAGGCCCCTTCTCTTTTCAGTTATGAGCATGAAGGATGTGACTCATGACTGCTCCTCCATGGAAAGGAAGAAAAGAATGGCGCTCAGTAGAACAAGCGCAACCTAAGAGGTGAAGTGGAGAGAGGGGAGAGTCTTGAGGACCTGAGGTCCTGGCTTGCTCTGGTTCCTGTAAGTTCTCACTTGAAGCAGTGTAGGGGATCAGGAGCGACAAGGCATGAAGAACAGTTTAGTTTTATTTGTTGATCAGGGAAGGCTTTTCTAATCAGATTAGATGTGCTCTTGCATGCATGCTCAGTCCGTCAGTCACGTCCAACTCTTTGTGACCTCAGGGGCTGTAGCCTGTCAGGCGCCTCTGTCCAGGGGGATTCTCCAGGCAAGAATGCTGGGATCCTCAGGGGATCTTCCTGACTCAGGGATTGAACCCACATCTCTTATGTCTCCTGTGTTGGCTTTAGTGCATTCTTTACCACTAGTGCTACCTGGAAACCCCAGATGTGCTCTGAAGTCTGAGTAAAGTAAGGGAGTAGGTCCTGTAAAGACACAAGAGAAGAGAATTCCAGGTGGAGGGAATAGAATGTGCAAAAGTCCTGCAGGAGGATGCTTGATGTTTTCAAGGAAAAGCTAGTTGTAGGCGGCGTGTGGCTGGAACCGAATGAGAATGGGATAACCTGTCCTGACCTTTTCTCTGAGGGGTTCCCAGCTGTGGAGTTACTCTCTGCCAGGATGAGAATTGGCATCAGGGCTTGAGCCACTACTTCAAGAACTTCAGTGCTTGTAGCTGCCAGGGGCCAGAAAGTCAGAGACCAGGGCTGAGGATTTCTCTGGCTCTGTAATTCCACGTCTGCACCCGGGGGATCCGACCTTCCTCCTCGCTTCCTCTAATAACTCACCTAAGATCTCTCAGAAACTACTGTTTCTACCAGCCTCCAGAGAAGGGGGCTCCTTGTGGCAGAGTAGACAGAAAAGCTTCAGTGGAAAGCATTTCTTTCATTACAATTGCTGAGGTGTGACATTCCACGGACACATGCCAATTTGTTCCCAGTGTGTTTGTTCCTTTCTTCATTCATTTAAGAATTTATTGAGTATCTGATATCTGCCAAGGTATACAGAAAGGCACTGAATCTACAAAGATGAATCAGACAGGGTTTCTGCTTTCAAGGATCTCAGTCTGGGTGCGCGTGGAGGAGGCAGGCTTGTAAACAGATGATCGGAGAAAAACATGGCAGGAGCCAGAGCTGAGGCAGGAGCGCAGTGCCGCTGAGGAACCCTGAGGAGGAGAGACAGTTTTCGCTAGGAGGGGCAGGGCGGCCTGGGCTTCCCTGGTGGCGCAGATGGTAAAGAATCTGCCTGCAGTGCAGGACACCCGGGTTTGATCCCTGCGATGGGAAGATCTCCTGGAGAAGGGAAAGGCAACGCACTCCAATACTCTTGCCTGGAGGATCCCCTGGACAGAGGAGCCTGGCAGGCTACAGTCCATGGGGTTGCAGAGAGCTGCACATGACTGAGTGACTGACTCTTTCCCTTTCACTTTCAGGGTGGTCTACAGAGAGGACGGGACCTCTTGGCTGGACATTGAAGGTGGAGGGGAATTTGACCAGTGGGGAGCTCTCCCAGAAATGCTGCTGAGAGGGACAACATGTGTGAAGAGAATGTAGTGGTGGGAAAGAGTGGGATGAGGAAATGGTAAAAATTCAGTGTGGAGGATTTGGGGCTGGACGTTGGTGGCCAAGGTAGAGGTCAACCTAGTCTGCCTTGGGTACTCAGATTTTGTTCTGTTGATTTGGAGAATCAATGGAGACTTTTAAGTAGTAATGTAAACAGATTAGACTGTTGAGTATGATATGATATGACAAAACATGTGTGCGTGCTCAGTTGTGTCTGACTCTTTGAGACTCCATGGACTGTAGCTCACCAGGCTCCTCTGTCCATGGAAATTTCCAGGCAAGACTAGTGGAATGGGTTGCCATTTCCTTCTCCAATAATATGACATAATGATAATAATAATGGGAGATGATCTGAAGAGTCAATGGTCAGTTGATTGGGTTGAGACAGGGTCACAAACTCAAATACCAACAGGCCAGGCGATGACTTGGCAGAACCAGGAGGTCAGCAGGTCATGTTTTAAGAGGGCAGGTGCCACTCAACTCAGTCAGTTGATGTCCCTGTAGGGACTCGGGTCCAGGGCTGCCGGAACTCCTGAGTTTTCAAGAGCAGCT